AACTAGTCAACCAACCAATCCACCAACTAACCAACCACTCCACCAACCAACCACCCACCAACCAACCAACTACTCAACCAACCAACCAACCAATAAATCCTGTTTCCAGTTGCCTTCCAGATATTAACAGACCAGATTCTCCCAACAGGCTTACATTTGCTGAAGTCGAATGCCAGCTGGAGACTGGCGCAGAGGTACGCTTGGCAGCTGGAGCATTTCAACATGTCGCACTCCACGTTGGTCCATCCATACTTGGCGCAGATCAGGGGCGACAGCTCGTGGGGTTTGCCTGCCCACTTGAGGGAGTGTTGGGCGTTAAGGAAAGCCACTCGAGATTTCAGAATTTAAGATTTAAGAAAAATCTGGGTTTTCCCATCAACTTCTACAGGCCAGCATGAAATCTCCTCCAATTCTCACAGCTCTCAATAGAGGTAGTCCTCAACTTACAACAGTTCGTTTCATGATCGCCGAACGTTACAACATCACTGAAAATTAATGACTGATGGCCATTTTTCACACTTACAATCACTGCGGCATCCCCAGGGTCACATATTTTCCATTTAGATGCTTGACAAGTGACTGTGATGACCCAAAGGGGGCTTGGCACAAAGGCAACACAGTCAGATCATCAGTAACTCCAACTTTGATTAGCTCCAACTTTGTTCCCCAATGTCCTGGTTACCTTCTGGGCTGGAGAAAAACTCTTCCCAGGAAGAGCCTTTGGCTACAGAGAATCAAGTCCAAAACTTTGTCAACAAAAACTGTAAGTCCAATCAAGACAAGATGAGGTAATTAGTCCGGCAGGGCAGGAGCAAGAATTCCAGACATGAAAGCAGGGCAAAACTCACGCAGTTGGGAAGATGCCAGGAACACAGATAAGCAAAATCAACACAAGATAAACTCAGGTTTGCTCGCAGCAGCTGCCACACTCAGCATGCATTTCTTTTAAATTCTCATTCCCAGGCGTGGCTAAGGGAATCAGGGCCCTTTCCTCTCCCGTAAGCCATGCAATCTGCGTTGCTCCCTTCTTCGTTCCTCCCTGCATGTCCTAGGATGAAGAGGGGTGGGCCTGGGTCTTCCTCTGCACTCCCCCTCTCCCCTCCCCTGCCGGCCTTTGCCCTTCCCCAGTTTCCTTCACAGCCAACGGAGCCACACTCCCAGTCCCTCTCAGCTGTCCGGCTTCCTCCTTGGATTCAGACTCCGATAGGGGCATGACAGTGACTCACATTTTTTAAACAGTTTATTTCTACGTTTTAAGAACTGACTCACATTTATGACAGTCACAGTGCCCCGAGTCACGATTCCCTTCTGTGACATTCTGACAAGCGAAGTCAATGGGGAAACCAGAGTCACTTAACAACCATGTTACTCATTTAACAACTGCGGTTGATTTCACTTAGCAAATGTGGCAAGGAAAATCAGAAAATGGGGCAAAACTGACTTATAACAAATTCCTCACCTTAACAACATACATTTTGGCCTCAATTGTGGTTGTAAGTTGAGGACTACCTGTATTTGGACAGCTCACAGAGAGCGGGGAAAAGGGAATAATTGGATGCTTCACCTGTGGAGAAAACCCATTTTTTATTGAAAATAGCACTCCTTTAAATGTATAGGTAGTCCCTGACTTACAACTATTCAGTGACCATTCCAGGTTATAACAGCACTGAAAAATCACTGAACATTTTTCACTTATGACCATTATAGCAGCTACACTGGCACGTGATCCAAATTCAGACAGCTTGACAACTGACTCACATTTACGACGGTTGCAGCGTCCCAGGGTCACATGATCCCCTTTGGTGACCTTCTGACGAGCAAAATCAACGGGGAAGCCAGATTCACTTAACAACCATGCGGCTTGTTTAACAAGTTCAGTGATTCAGTGAGGGGAGCCGAATGTCAACTCCTAAACCATTCCTAGGCCTGTTTTAGTAGTTGCCATAAAAAAAGGGGGGGGTGAGAGAGGAAGGAAATCTGGAAGAGCCGTGCAACAGTTTGGAAGCAAAAGTACATTCCAACTCTTATCTTTAAAAGATTGTATCTAAACTACCAGAGCTTTTGCCCGCGAATATATTTAATTGGAGAACATGATTGATGATACCGTGAAGGTGCTCAGTTGGAGAATCTGATTTATGACACACCCAGGAGGGAGAAGGGGAAACAGGGTCACAGGGGACTGTAAATGACGTAGGCCAGAGTTGGCTCTGCACACAGGGCAGGGCCATCATGTCGCCTCTAATAAAATCTTTGCAATTTTTTGAAGTTTGGCTGGAGAATCATGATTTAATTAGGGTGATTGCTGGAATCCTGACAGAACCACGGTGGCCAGAAAGGATGTAAAATGGGGCAAAACTCACTTAACCTCACTTAACCTTAAAACTCAACAGCTTAGCAACATAAATTTGGGGCTCCATTGTGGTCGTAAGCTGAGGACTACCTGTACATTTTGTTTCCTCTAGGCACTCCCCCGCCCCCCAAGAGGAAGCAGCCTTAGAATAATTGGGACTCAAAGGATATGGTGAATGTTTCTACTCTGTTGAAGAAAGCCTCTTTGCTAGTGGATTCAAAATGCAGTTCGTTGCTCTGGGGGGAGCCATTGGCCACTTCACCGAAGGCAGAAGAATCTTTTCTGAAACGCAAGCAAGAGCACTCAGAGAAATTATTTTCGATTCACAACAGCGAGTGTTACTAGTTTCTCCCCCATCTCCCTCTCTCAGGCCCCCCTAAAAGTGTCTAAAACGAATAGGTGGCAGAGGAATACATTGGATGGAATTTTTGAATTGGGCTAGGATCTTTGGGGGCCATTCAGTCTGACCCCACTGCTCAGGGGAGAATCAGAATGGAAACTCCCGAAATGAAAAGGCGGCTCGGTCCTAGTTCTTAGGCTTTATGCCTTAAGGTAGGTCTAGAATTCACTGTCTGCTGGTGATTGGCCCAAAGTCACGCTGCCATCTTTCACACCTAAGGTAGGAGTAGAACTCACCATCTCCAGGTGATTGGCCCAAAGTCACACAGCTATCTTTCACACCTAAGGTGGGACTAGAACTCACTGCCTCCAGGTCATTGGCTCAAAGTCACTCAGCCATCTTTCACACCTAAGGTGGGACTAGAACTCACCGTCTCCAGGTGATTGGCCGAAAGTCACCCAGCCATCTTTCACACCTAAGGTGGGACTAGAACTCACCGTCTCCTTGTGATTGGCTCAAAGTCACCCAGCCATCTTTCACACCTAAGGTGGGACTAGAACTCACCGTCTCCAGGTGATTGGCTCAAAGTCACCCAGCCATCTTTCACACCTAAGGTGGGACTAGAACTCACCGCCTCCAGGTGATTGGCCCAAAGTCACCCAGCCATCTTTCACACCTAAGGTGGGACTAGAACTCACTGTCTCCAGGTGATTGGCTCAAAGTCACCCAGCCATCTTTCACACCTAAGGTGGGACTAGAACTCACCGCCTCCAGGTGATTGGCAAAAAGTCACCCAGCCATCTTTCACACCTAAGGCGGGACTAGAAGTCACAGTCTCCTGGTGATTGGTCCAAAGTCACCCAGCCATCTTTCACACCTAAGGTGGAACTAGAACTCACCGTCTCCTGGTGATTGGCAAAAAGTCACCCAGCCATCTTTCACACCTAAGGCGGGACTAGAGGTCACAGTCTCCTGGTGATTGGCCCAAAGTCACGCAGCCATCTTTCACACCTAAGGTGGAACTAGAACTCCCGGTCACCTAGTTCTATCCCAGCCCCTACCCCACCTAGACCATAGAAACACCCCGCTCCAATGAAACTCCCCCATAAACCCCCAGCCCCTTCCCCTCACCCAATCCCGCCCAACACGGCCCCCACACCAGGCCCAGAACCCGCCTCTCCTCCGGCCCGCAACCGCCACCGCCCTCCCGCCCGCCGGAGTTGAAGCCACGCGGGGCGGGATGCTGGCTGGAGTCCGGCGGGCTCCGTCCTTCCTCGCTCACCTGTCCTGCCCGGCTTCCTCCGGGGCGATGCCTTCGTCGATTAGTTCCCGCACCTTCTGCGGGGTGATGGCCGGGGACTTCGGCTTGGTCGCCAGGGCGCCGCTCTCGTTCTCCGGGGCATCGGCGGCGGCGGCAGCAGCAGCAGCAACCGCCGCGGGGCTGGGCGCCGCCATCTTGGTCCGACCGTTGAAAGCGTTCCCCACCACCACCCGCCAACCGGAAACGGAAGTTCCGGGGCACCTTTGTTCCTACCTGGCTCAACTGCTTCATTCAGCCGTCCCTGCCAGTCCCCTTACGCGACAATGCTGGGGCTGCAAATGAGGAAGGGGGCTATAGATTGAATACAAGTCCCCCTTTCTGCCCCCTTATAAAACAATCCCTGGGGCTAGAACTGAAGGGGTGGGGATACAGACTGGGAAAAAAAACTCCTCCAATTTGGTTGATTGTACACCGGATTGCACACTGTACGTTGGCAACCTTGTTCAGCCCTGCCAATGAATTTCTGAGATTAATATACCTGGTAGCAACCCGGTTGGGGAAAGCCCCTGGTTAGAACAAGCCACAGGCCATTCCTTTTTTTTATATATAAAAAGTTTTTTATTTTAACAACAAACAAAACCACATAAAACATACAACACAAAACATAAAAACATCATCCTTCTTCATAAATTTACAAACAGTGTATCAGTTGGTTTACCACTTTTTTTGTGCATCCGTTTCCTAAATGCTAATATAGTTATATTACATAATAACTCATATTATCAATCAAATATTTTTGGGAAAATATTTTTATTCTATTTTATAAACCTTCAAACTCATATAAAAAGAGATGAAGGGGGAGGGAAGGAACAGAACGGATTAAAACGTGACAACCCCCCCCCCCCTCATTGAGCAAATACAAAAACTTTTATCTATTTTTTGGTTAATTTTAATGATTTTGTTTCATTAATTTAATTAACAAACAACAAATAATTCCCTCAACACTGTTCAACTATTACAAAGTCTGCACTACCATTACTTTATTTTATTTATTTATTTAGATTTGTCAATTGCTTACAAGATAATAGGTGTAAGTATATACATAGTTATGAATACATGAAATGGGTTAGGGTTAGGGTAGGGTCCTTATCGCCTATCCCCTCCCACTTGTGACTGTATGACTGTAACTTTGTCGCTTATATCTTATAATGTATATGGACTGTTTCCTAGTATGATTTGATTGCTTATTGTATCCTATGACTATCATTCATTGTTGTACCTGATGATTCTTGACTCTTGATGAGTGTATCTTTTCTTTTATGTACACTGAGAGCATTTACACCAAGACAAATTCCTTGTGTGTCCAAATCACACTTGGCCAATAAAGAATTCTAATTCTATTCTATAGCTGTCCATCTCAATTCATGGTTTACTATTCATATATACTGTATATACTACAATGGGCAGATTAACATTTGAAAAGTATTCTACTGTTGGAATTATAACAACATTTTAAAGCAATAAAAATCTTTTAAAAATTGTTTAAAAATGCTTTTACAATTTCCAGATTCAGATAATCGAAGTTGGAAGGGACCTTGTAGGTCATCTAGTTCAACCCCACAATTTTAATTGTACATTTTGTGAATGGTAAGCCTAATTGGGTCATGAAACCTTTATTATATATTATTTTGCAAGAAAAGAACTCAGAAAGCACCAAGGATCCCAGTCTCTTCCTCCTTTTCCACCTCCGTCCCACCTCCTTCTCGTCCCCTCACTTCTCTCCTTGTCCTCCACCTTCCCCTCTTCTCCTCCTCCTCCCTTCCAGCAATGATGATAGTTGGGTCACGAAACGTCTGCAAAAAAAACCCCCACCAAGCTCAGAGAGCACCAAGGACGCCACCAAACTCTTGTCCTTCCATCTGCATTTTTGTTGTTGATATAATTTGTTTTTCCCTTTTGATTATATATTGTTCTGCCATTTAAATTAAATGAATGAATGGTCTGAAGCTTTTCAGCACCTCCCCTGAAAGCTGTAAGTCCCTGGAACATCTGTTGTGTGTTGAAACGAAACAGCATCAGACGGGAACACAAGGGAACACAAGGCTGTGCCGTCCACATGGCCCACAGTAACACAAGGCTTGCATCGCTTGCATTGTGAACAACACGAGGTAGTGAGGGGAGGGGGGAAAGGGGTGGAGAGGGGGACATGCCCCACGCACCTCGCCTGTCCACCGGGCTGCTTCTTTCCACTTCTTTCTTCTTCTGCTTTTGGCTGCACGCAAGGGAAGCAGCCAAAGTCTTTCTTTCTCTCTCACAAACTCCGCCAGAACTGAGTCTTTGGGACCCTGCAAGGCCTCCTGCTCCAAGAGGCTGCAAAGACTCATTTCTGGTGGAGTTTGGGGGGAGAGAAAGAAAGACTTCTGCGGCTTCTGCTGCTTTCCTTGCATGAAGCCAAAAGTCTTTCTCTCTCCCCACTGCCCCCTGCGAATGGACCTGGAGACGGTATCCTGCAATCCCAAATAAAGAACGATCGATCAGTCGGAAAACGTGGGGGGGGGATTTGCCAGCAGACTTTTGGGGGGGATGTTCCCAGGGTCTCTGGTCCGTGGGATTTAAAATGATGAGTTTGGTGGTCCCTGAGGTCCAAAAGGTTAAGTGAATCCCTGCAGTTCTTAAATTACTAACCCAGTTGTGAAGTGAATCCGACTTCCCCGTTGATTTTTCTCATCAGAAGGTCACAAAAGGGGGATCACAGAACACCCTCCCCCGGACACTGTAACCATCATAAATGTGAGTTGGCTGTCAAGCATCCAAATGTAAATCACGTGACCATGGGGATGCTGCAACGGTCGTTAAGTCTGAAAAGTGGTCATAAGTCACTTTCTCCAGTGCCGTTCTGACTTTGAACGGTCACTAAATGGACTATTGTAAATCAAGGATTACCTGCAGTATCTACTTATCTATTTTCTTCTATTGGTAAAGATTTTTCTTTTGGGGGGGGGGAATTGCCTGCAGGTACTTAAACCTATTTTATAAACCCACGTTATAAAAAAGATGTTGAGACTCTAGAAAAAATAGAGAGAAGAGCGACCAGGATGATGAGGGGACTAGAGGCTAAAACATATGAAGAACAGTTACAGGAACTGGGCCTGGCTAGTCTGGTGAAGAGAAGGACCAGGGAAGACAGGAGAGCATCTTCCAATATTTGAGGGGTTGTCACAGAGAGGAAGAAGGGGGTCAAGCTATTTTCCAAGCTGGAGGCTTTCAAGGTGATATTGGACTGCCATCTGTCAGAAACGGTGTAGGGTCTCCTGTTTTAGTGGCGGGGAGAGGTTGGACTAGATGTCCTACAAGGTCCCTTCCGCCTCTGTTAATCTGACTTTAATCTGATTTTAATGGAGAAATGGACCAGGGGAGACAGGATAGCGGTCTTCCAATATTTGAGGGGCTGCCACAGAGAGGAGGAGGGGGTCAAGCTATTCTCCAAAGCACCTGAAGGCCAGACAAGGGACAATGGATGGAAACTGAACAAGGAGAGTTTCAACCCGGAAATAAGGAGAAACTTTCTGACAGTGAGAACAATCAACCCCTTGGAATAGATGTTGCCCTCCGAAGTTGTCGGAGCTTCATCCCTTGAGACTTTCAAGAAGAGATTGGATTCTCATTTGTCAGAAATGGTGTAGGCTCTCCTGCATGGACTAGATGACCTCCAAGGTCCCTTCCAACTCTTAATTATCTGTTGTCTGGATTCACACACTGCATTTTGTGGCAGCCTCTCAAGTACTGGAACACTACTATCATCATTCCCATCATCCCCAGCCACTGCCTATGGAAGACAAGACAGAAGCAAGGCTTCAAAAATCTGAAATGCAATCCATTGCCCGATAATTTCAGAGGTGTGGCCGACTGGCTATCAGTGCGGCCTATTGGAAATTGCCTACAATTGAACTACAGCCCCCAGCAGCACTTGCGAAGGGGTCGCGCGGGAGAGACAAGAGAAGCCTTTCTCTGGCTTTCGATTGCTTCTGCCTGCCCTTCGTGCAAAGCGAAGGGAGAGATCGGCCGTCCGCCTCGCCTGAACGGGTCACGTGGGTTCCGCCGGGCGGCCGGCTCGACCGACGGCTTCTCCATGGTCATCCGGCCCTTCCCCCCTTCGGCGCCTCGCAACAAGCGCGCCTCCTATTGGCTTCTGCGGAGTTAGGACGAAGCGGATTGGCCCGCGAGGGGAAACGCCGCTCGTCTCGGTGCCTTGAGGCGGCTGAAGGGGGGGTGGGGGCTCTGCCGCTCGGCCGTTGAGGGCACGCGGGGTGAGGCAGAGGCCCGGTCCGGTCCGGTGGGGAGCATGTCTGCGGCCGACGGAGAGGGCTGGGACGGCAACGGGCAGCGAAGAGGGGGCAGTGGCGACGGGCCGGCCGCTCAGGCCCCCTCCGGGGGTCTCCTCAACCGCTTCGTCCGTCTCCCGCCCGGCCCGGGACGCGCCGGTAAGGCAAAGGAAGGCCCAGGCCCTTGGCTTCTTTTCTTCCTAGGCCTCGCACAACACTCCTGCGAGGTAGGCCGGGCTGGCGTAACCGGCCTAGAGTCCACACACACACACACACACACGCACGCCCTTCCCGGGTAGCGGGATATCCGGCTCTCCTTCGGCCTCCGTCCTCCATTGGGGCCCCGCGAAGGCCGCCCCTCCCTCCTGGGACGGGGAGTGGAGCTTCCTTGCCCCGGGGCACTTTACCCGGGAAGGGTGCCCCCTTGAGGAGGGACAGGGCGAGCGGCTTTCAAAGGGTTTTTTTGGGTGGAGTGGGGCAGAGTTGGGACTGCAGGCCTTGGTGGGTGGGATGGTTCTCCAGAAGGGGAGTCCTTTTTAGGGTCAGGAGCTGGATGGGGGGCCACCAGGAAAGCCCTGGACGGGGTGGGGGAAAGAGATCCTTGGTGGCCTCTGAGCTTGGTGGGAGGGTTGTTTTTTTTTGTTTTTGGCAGGCATTTGGTGACCCAACTAGGGAACATCATCAGGGCTAGTAAGGAGGGTGGCTTGTTGAATGGAGGAGAAGAAGGGGAGGAGGAAGTGGGAGGGCTGGGGGGGTCCCTGGTGCTCTCTCAACTTGGTGGTTTTCCTGCAGACGTTTCGTGACCCAACTAGGGAACATCATCAGTGCTAGAAGGGAGGAGGAGGAGGAGGACTGTGGGGCCCTTGATGCTCTCTGAACTTGGCTTGTTCTCTTGCAGAGGTTACCCAAGGAGGTAACATCTTCAGGGCTAGGAGGGAGTGGGGTTTATGGAGAGGAGGAAGAGGAGGGGGACTGTGGGGGTCCTTGGTGCTCTCTGAGCTGGGTTATTTTCTTGCAGACGTTTCGTGACCCAGCTAGGGAACATCATCTGTGTTAGAAGGGAGTGGGGTTTGCAGAAGGAGGAGAAGGAAGTGTGAGGAGGTCCTTGGTGCTCTCTGAGCTTGGTGGTTTCCTTGCAGATGTTTCGTGTCCCAACAAGGGAACATCATCAGTGCTGGGAGGGAGGAGGAGGAGGAGGAGGACTGCTTCTTTGAGGTCCATGGTGCTGTCTGAGCTTGAATGTTTTCTTGCAGACGTTTCATGACCCAACTAGGGAACATCATCAGTGCTAGAAGGGAGTGAGGTTTGCAAGGGGGAGGAAGGGAGGAGGAGGCTGCAGAGCCCTTGGTGCTCTCTGAGCCTGGATATTTCCTGGCAGACATTTCATGACCCAACTAGGTAACATTATCAGTTCTAGAAGGGAGAGAGGTTTGCAGAAGGAAAAGAAGGAATGAAAGGGAAGGAGGAGGAGGAAATGTGGGGTCCTGGGTGCTCTCTGAGCTTGGTGGCTTCCTTGCCAACTAGGTAACATAATCAGGCCTAGAAGGGAGGGGACTTTGCAGAGAGGAGGAAGAGGAAGAGGAAGGAGAAGGAGTGAAGGGAAGAGAAGGAAGGAAGGGCTGTTGGGGGTCCTGGGTGCTCTCTGGGTTTTCTTACAGATGTTTCTTGACCCAACTAGGGAACATCAGTGCTGGAAGGAATGGGGGTTTGTGGATAGGAGGGGAAGAAGGACAATTAAAACTGTGGGGTCCTCGGTGCTCTCTGAGCCTGATGGTTTTGTTGCAGACATTTCATGAGCCAACTAGATAACATCCTCAGTGCTACATGAGAGAGGGGTTTATGGAGAGGAGGAAAAAGAAGAGGAGGAGAAGGAGGGAAAGAACAAGAGGAGAAGGGGAAGGAGGAAGAGTGACGGAGGAAGGGAAAGAGAAAGAAAAGGAGAAAGGGAGAGGGAGGAGTGATGGAGGAGGACTGTGATGTCCCTGATGCCTCTCTGAGCTGGGTGGTTTTCCTGCAGCTGTTTCATAATCCAGCTAGGTAACATCATCATTGCTTGAAGGGAATTGCGTTTCCAGAGGAGAGGAGGAGGAGGACTGTTGTAATGATGAGGCAGTCGAGGTATTTGATTATGATCAACTGAATCATGATGACTTTACTGGAGTCTAGTCTTGCATTTATACACATTTTCAGTAATCCTCCAACATTGGTTAACTTTGGTTACTGCTTAACTTTCATTACTGTTTAGCATAATAGTAATTAACACAATTATCTCTAGTTAAAGTCTAACACATGTTTACTTCCTCTCTCTCATCCTCCTTTACATTAGTGACTTTGTTTGCCTGAGTTGTATTTGCTTTGGAACCTTCATTACCTGAGGTTTGCCATCAAGATAATGACATTCCTGCAATTACAACTCTACAGAGGACGATGATGATCGGGTCTTTGCTGCCCTCTGAAGGTTTTTTTTCTTGCAGATTTTCATAACCCAGCTAGGTAGCATCATCAGTGTTGGAAGGGAGTGAGGTTGCCTCTCTGTTTATACCCGTCAAGGAGCTACCAGTGCAGACAAAGAGTAAGCAATCAAGGAACTTCCTAATCAAGGAACCTGCAAGGCCACTTCCATCAAATACTGACGGGGCAGGCCACTTGTAACCAAAAGTAACGCCCCCCCCCTTCTTACACTGATGAGGTTACCTACATAGGTCATGAAATGTCTGCAGGAACACAACCAAGCTCAGAGAGCACCAAGGATCTCACAGTTTTCCTCCCCCCACTCCACAAACCACATTCCTTTCCACAACTGGTGATGTTATCTAGTTGGGTTATTAAACTTCAAGAAAAAGACCAAGCTCAGAGAGCTCCAAGGGCCCCACAGTCCTCCTCTTCCTCCTCAACCCCACTCCCTTGTAACACTGATAATATTTCCTAGCTGGGTCATGAAATGTCTGCAAGAAAGCAACCCAAGTCAGCACCAAGGACCCCCCACCAGTCCTTCTCCTCCTCCATCTTCATTCCTTTTCCTTCTTTCCCTTCCTCCCCCTCCCTCTCCTCTCTACAACTTCCACTCCCTAATAATGTCGCCTAGTTGGGTCATGAAACATCTGCAAGGAAGCCACCAAGGACTCCACCGCTCAATCCTGAGCTACAAACCTTCCCTTCTAAATCCTAGAGCTGGGATCTTCAAACTTGACAGCTTTCAGACTTGTGGACTTCCTCCAGTCATGTTAGCTCGGGAATTCTGGGAGTTGGAAGTCCGCAAAGCCTTAAAACGTGCCAAGGCACCTGTCAGAAACGGTGTAGGGTCTCCTGCTTGGGCCTGGGGTTGGACTGGATGACCTCCAAGGTCCCTTCCAATTCTGTTAATCTGTTAAAAGTTTGAAGACCCTTGCCCTCCGGCGTAGATGAAGATAGACCTTGAAAGCAGGCCTAAAAGAAGGCAAGGGGGGGGGCCTCACTTCCCTATCGATGGCAGGGAGACAGTGTGGAGTTTCCTGGCGGAAACCAACGGGAAGAAGATTGTGGGGTTTTTTGCATCTTTTGTGATTTACTAACCACGTGAAAGTACCGTAATAGGAAGTCATGCTGTTCTTATTCAGCAGTTTTGGTTAGTGCCAGCTACAAGGAATTTGGAAAAGGGCCACAGGAAGTTTCCCCGTGTTTTTAGTTTGCTCAAGAAGCTGTACTGGGACATGATGGGCATCTCAGTTGTTTGGTGTGTTGTGCGAGCATCATCGCTGTCAGGTTGAAGGGGATGAGGAGAAAATTTTGGACATTTGGCTAAACCTTCGGTTAGATTTTTTGTCGCAGACATTGCGTTTTGTCTAACGCACTTCACCGGCATTAAAATAGTTGAAGAATATGATGTTTTTTTATTTTATGTCGTTTATGTCTCGTTTATGTCTCACCTTTGTTGTATTCTCCTAAACAACTCAAAGCTGCGAACACACCTCAGACTCCTCCCTCCCCATATTTTCTCCAATACAACAATCCTGGGAGGTAGGCTGGGCTGAGAGAGAAGGACTAGCCCAAAGTCACCCAGCTGCTACAATTCCCCCCCCCCCGCCCCCCCCAAAAAAGAAAAGAAAAGTGTTTTGCACTGGTTCAAACCCAGGCAATGCTGTTGCCCTTAACAGAAGCGTTTTCCCCGTTTCGTACCGAAAATACCAAACTATTATAAATAGTGGAGTTGCCCATTGTGTAGATCACATTCCCCAAAGTCTAACGAAATGTACAGGTGCCTGAATTCTAGCAGTTCTGGAGGAAAGCTTTGATTCTCCAAGGTGCTGAATTGTAGAGAAGTTATATTTTAGTGCCTTCTTTGGTGGTTGAAGTGCTGTGATAGCCCTAAATAAACCTTTAGTAATACAAGGTTCAGCTCTGTGGTTGCTATGAGGAGAACTTTTTGCTACTTTGAGGAAGAAGTTCCAAGTAATTCATCACTAGCAGGTCAATACCAGCTGTGTTCCTGGCATTGTACCATTCCTCTTGCTATCCTTGCTATCCCAGCTAGGAATCAATTAAAATTCTCCAGAGATACTTTCTGATGCAGCGTTACATATGCTATTGATCGATTTAATATCCTGGCTTTTATTTTTTATCAATAACTAGGCACCAAACATATCTAACACTCCTTCCAGTCACAGTTACCCTTCTACGTTTCATGTCTAAGGCAGGACTAGAACTGTGGGGGGATTGGCCCAAAGTCACCCACCTGGCTTTCCTGCCCAAGGCGGAACTAGAACTCACATTCTCCTGGTGTTTGGCCCACTAGAACTCAAC